TGTATTCCTAGAAGATAAAATAATATTTATGGAAGCTAGGTCAGCTGTTGTGTGGACTCAGAACTTGGAGGAAAATGCACTTTTCGGCTGAAGGAATAACCAGTACTGTCTTTTGCTGCCCGTCTTTCTGTCCTGACCCTGTGGACTGGCCCGCCAGCTGCACTGCCTGTCCACAAGGTGTCATTTGTACCAGGTCCAGGATATGCTCTTGGTCTGTGCTGAGAATTAAACATGCCCTTTACCTCTCCTCTGGTGATTTTAGGAACTCTCCCTTTTCTTCCTTTGCGAGAAACATTACCTGCACCATTTGGCACTTTTTCCACATAGAAATGAAATTGTTTTCAGAAGCTGATTGCTTTCAGTCACTCAGATTTATTCTGATCCGTGGAAGCTGGCAAGAAATCAATTCACATTTTTTTCATGGACTGTTGAAAAGATTGTCTTGCAGAGTTTGTGGACTTTTGTTTTGCCTGCTAATGCACAGTTTGGTGATGAGTATCCCAAAATAGATGTGTTCATGAAAGAGTGCAAGTGACATTCTAGCATGGCCTTGACACAGGCATGGTCGTCACCCTATATTGTGACCCAGCCTCCAGGTGACCGTAGAGCAGAGTACCAGGTGTGCCTATTACTACTATTGGAGGTGATTTTGTTGATTGGCTGTTTAAAGAATAGTGCTAGGGTGATGGAAATATTCTAAAATGAGCTCATCACACAACTCTAAATACACTAAAACTATTGAACTGTACATTTAAAACAGGAGAATTTTAATGTATATACATTATACCACAAAGCTGTTATAAAAATCAGCATCAGGTGACACTTTTGACTTTCCTAACAGACTGTGACTATCTCTGCTTCAAACATGCCTGAAAGAATTTAACCTATTATTTGTCATCTATACGCAGTGGAAATGTTGGGAATCCCCCCAAAGGAAACATACTTCGTATTAGGATACTTCATATCACCAGTGTGTGGGTTTCTTTTTTTTAAGACATTTTCTGCCTGAGGGTTTACTGAACTGATAACCCCTCAGGAAATTATTTTAAATTGATTGAGCGGAAATGGTTGATTTAATCCTGTTAAAGAGTTAAATTCTAAGGGACTTTACAGACAACTTTGTTACCCCTTTCATTTTACAGATGAGATTCTGTGAAGAGTTTTAAAACTCTAATTATGTAATAAAGTTAGAATGTAGTTCTCTACTCATCTGTTCTGCTCTTTAAATATTTATGCTATGCTATGAGGCAGCCATTAAAATGATAATTATTAAGACTGTGTAGAAACATGGAAAGCTGTTTATAATACAAATGAAATCAAGCAGAGGGCCAAATGGCCTAAATATCATGATTGCAACCAGGATGTCAAATTTGTGTACACACTGAGATCTGGACCATGATAGATAAAGACAGTATGGGTGTCGTATGATAGGGTGATGGGCATTTCTGCCTTAATATTCTGGAACGTTGCTGCCTTGTGTTCACATAACGCCTTTCCTAAAAATATTAAGAGGGGATGATGTAGGCTCAAAGGGATTGTGCACATGTTGATGGCTGCCCGAGTCTATAACCCTCATTTGCAGACTCTCCCCAGCCACTTTCCAGCCCCGGGAACGTGTGTGCTGAGGTTATGCCGTTCTAGCCACTGGCACCATCCTTGTTTACCTGCTTCCAGAACTCTCTCTTTGTTCCCTTATTTCTCACCCTGTTGTTGACCGATCCGGAATGGCTGAAGGATGACTCTTATGGGGGGTAGTAACTACAGTTAAACTCCTCTACTCCAGGCAGAACATGAAGAAATTGGCTTATGCTGACACTTAAGTGATTTAGAGGACACTGGAAGAATATCTTGTCTCCAACATTGGTGTTCATTGCCTACTGGGGTGATTCGAGGGTGTTCTTTCTCTGGTTAGCTTGACAGCTCAATGGACTGATTGAGGAAGAGAGAAGTGGGCTAGGTGACTCTCAGGACTCCATTGATTTTTCAAGTTGACTCTATCCCAAAGGCTTTTCTCTGTGATGGGGGAGCATCGTGGAGAAAGTGTAAAGCAGCTACATACGCAATTGAAGCAGAAGATTGCTTCAAAGCCTAACTCTGCAGGTAGATTGTGATCATGCATGCTTGTCCACTGCAACAGATGGTGCTGGAGTCTTAGCCCATGGCTGAGTCAGTGTGATAAATGCGAAACTAGTGAATATGGAATATATTGTGTAAACACACTCTCTCAGGGATTGGATCCCATTTTCTAAAATGTTTGGTTTCTCTGGATGATGTTTGCTAAGTGGTAGGTGGTATTTATTAACTCAAGTAACTAATTATACTTTTATATCACTGTACTTTTCCTGTTAAATTGTTGAGATATTATAGACATAGCAATCCCATTTCTGGGAAAAGAAATGGGACTGTGGAAAGCAAAGGAAAAGCAGGGGACACTGTTAGATGTGTGGACGGCTTTATAGATCTGTGATGTACAGTTAATTCAACGTTTTTACTCTGGTTTATTATCTCTTTAAATGTTGTGGTCTTAAAACTCAACCTCTTTAAGGTGAAGACAAAGTCTCTTTGTACTCTGCTTACCTCATTACATAGCCCTGTGCCTGGAACAGAGTTGCTCTGTGAATATCTGTTTATTAAAGTTCTAATAGAGTTTTCTGGGTGTTTTGGCTTGGTCAGTTTGGCTTGATGATTTTATCTTGATATGCTGACATACTCTCTTCTGTTCTCCCTCTAATTACTGGAATAAGATGGTCAATGTGACTGTCAAGAATTCAAACCCATGGCTCTCATTGCCTAAATGAATGGTGCTCAGTGGTGGGTAAATTTACTAATGTGTGTGAAACTAAATCTCAAATTTTGTTCTGCACTTCAAAGTAAACATTTTAAGAAGCGGTATTTTTATTACTTGGATATTTGATATGTCAGATAAGATGAGTAAGAGCAAACTACACTTCACCTCCCTTGTAATATCAGTTCCTAAAACCATACTTAACTTTAGGTCGTTCTCCTTGATTTTGGCGGGGGAAGGAAAGGCTCTTCATGGAGGAAATAGTGAATGTTGGTTATGTTGAAGTTACCTTTAATGAGTACCCTGCACATGCAGTGTTAAGCTTTTGGGTCAACTTATCTTTCCTAGTAAAGACAAGATACTTAGCCAACAAAGATGAAATCTAATATTGTTGAAGTTTACTTACTGTGGTGTTTCTTTGATCTGTTTCTAACAGCATACTGTTTATAGATCCTCAGAGCCAGAAGGTTCCAGGGCTCTAAGGGTTATATTTGTGTCTGTGCATTTGTTGACGAAGTAAAGCTGTTTCTGGCTGACATAATAAAAGAGCATTTGGAAAAGTATTGCGTAAGTCGCAGAATCAAGGGGAAAATGGAATAATTTGTCAGCCTCAGGAAGACTACCTCTGACAACTGTGGCATCCTGGGTTGGCCAACCAGGAGCATCTCTTAAGTCTTGGCCATTGAAATGGCTCAGTTCTGTTTTTACTCAGTGCTCTGCTCCAGTTACCAGTGATGGGGAAACGGGCAACACCAATAGATAGCTTCTTCCAACAAGGTTCATCTCAAAGCAGAGAGAATTAGATGATAGTTTTTACTTGGACAAGAAGTAATTTGGATATTACCAGAATTCAATCACCAAGTTATTCCTCTAGGTGGAAAATCTTAGCAGTTTAATCCAGCGACACATCTTTTATGTCTAGATCCTTATTTCCTTCTATTATACTCCAGGCCCCTTATTTTAGGATAAGCCTTCCTTTTAGTTCAACAGGGGCATTATTTTTAGTGGAGCTATCAATAGATTTTATCTCTGGAAGTTATCAACATTCAGTTTCAGCCTCATAAAATCCTACATGTAGAATCAGAACTTGACAGGTTAATTAGCCTGCTTAAGCTCAGATAGAAGTATTATTGAGTGTATTGATTAAAACTCTCTATGTTGCAAGTACCAGAAGATTCAAATTGAAGTCATTTGAGCAGAAACTAAACAGTTCAGGGTTATATCTCTTGTACCATGAGGGGCTTGATGCAGGGCTCAAACTGCAGGACCTAGACTTTTTCTCCCTTCCAATTTTTCAGCTCTGCTTTTGGTTTCATTTCAAGCAGACTTACTTTTCATGAATCCCAGGTGGCAGCTGGAAGCTTTGGGCTGCCAAATTTAGGTACTGAGGGGTTAAAACCCCTTTTTCCAGGAGTCCTAGTGAATATCACATTTTATCTCGTTGGCTTAGATTTAATCACATGCACATTTCTGAACCAATTACTGTAACCACAGTGATGAGATACCCTAGAGCTGAAGGGTAGATCAATTTTAAACAACCCACATGACTGAAAATGGAGGGAAAAACGAATGACTCAATAGAATAACCAGAATGCTTTTGGCAGGAAAAGGAGGAGAGGATTGATGCTGGGAAGTTAAAAAGTTTTATATTAAATTGTGAAAACTTGAGTTTTAAAAATTACATTTACAAATGATATTTAGTTATTTGCAAACATGCACAAATATAATATGAACCCATATATAGCCATCATCCAGCTTCAACAATTGTTGAAACATTTTGCCAATTATGTTTCTGTTGATTGCCCTTTAAATCATTATCATAAGATGCTTTTACAGCTGGCTGTGTAAGAACTCACAAGATCTAACACAAAGTCTGAGATCTTGCGTTATGAACATAAACCCAAATATCAAATGATCATCAGTCTCATACCATAAAACCATTTGTTGCCTGCTAGATCAAAAGATGGCTATGTGGAACAGTAATGCATTGTTGCCCTGGAAGTAGAATTTTATTTCAGTAGGTAAGGCTTTTTCCTGGCCTAAGCCTGATGAATCAGTTCCTTAACAGCTCTTTCCAGAGAACCTACAGCAAATTTGTCTTCTGGCCCTGGGTGTCCTTAGGGGTGAATCAGAGGTGTTATTTAACAGTGAGGTTTCTGAACACCAGTATGCACGTGCATTGTGTGAGAGCTGACTGTGACCTAATCTCTTGCAGTTGAAAGATGCATGAGTGTAATGCAGTCCGGGACACAGATGATCAAACTGAAGCGTGGGACCAAAGGGCTTGTCCGGCTCTTTTACCTGGATGAGCATCGGACCCGCCTCCGATGGAGACCCTCCAGGAAAAGCGAGAAGGCAAAAAGTAAGGTCAACCTTGAATTCTCTGCATGGCCTGACACAGTAACCCATGGGTTACATCAGGTGGGCTCTGTGGAAGCTTCAGATCTGTGGAACATCCATATTTTTGCAAGTTTTGGGGTCAGCTGTTCAAGGATGTGGAGAGACAGAATAAATAATGACCAATTTTGCTTTTTTAATTCTTTGGGGAATTTAAATCCATGAAAGTTTTTGTTGTTGTTGTTCATGAATGCTGTAAATGTTAATATTTCCCCTGTGTTGGAGACATGATATAGAAATATTCACTTGGGATATTCATTTGGGATATGAGGTTTTATAGCCTGAGGTCTTTTCTTTTCCTATGAAAGTTTAGAAATATCATAAATCCAATGCGCGTTAAAGTGTTTTGAAATTTTCTGAGCACAGTTGACTGATTAATGAGTTAACAAAATTGTTTTAATGAAATCAAGTAAAATAGCTTTGATCTGACTACTAGTTAAGACCTGTTAAGACCTGTCTCTCATACCTTCTACACTCAGCACCAAGTCCAGGTGGAGTCTCCTGTAATGTCCCTTTCACCTGCCCCTTCCATCCTGCCTTTGCCAGAACAACTTGTCCAGGGTCTCATCACCTTTCTGGTGGCCAATTGTGAAGTCTCCTAACCAATCTCCATTTGCTAGTTTCTTCTGCTTTGATCAGTTAATATGCTTTCCCCTTCAGGTAGCAGAAGACCTTGGCCAAATTAGGCTTACATGACAGACAAATTTATTATCTCACATAACAAGAAGCTCAGAGATTGGCAGGCCCGACTCAATGGGGCCATTGAGTCTCTAGTTCTGTTTTCCTAGGTGCTCTCTGCTCTGACCCTTGTGACTTGGCTTTGCCATCAAAGCAGCAGCACCATGGCCCCAGGTCTTCTGGGCCTCACGTTCTGATATAATGGTGAAGAGGCAGAAAGGGACCTTCTCTTCTGGGGCTTCCTTTTTAGAAGAGAAGAACCTCTTTCTAGACCTTCCACTCAAGGCATACTCCCCAAGTCTCCTTGGTTAGAGCTGGGTTGCATCCCACATCTAAATCAATCATAAGAAATATGAATGGGCACACCCACCAGAAATCTGCCCTGGGGCTGGGCACAGGCTTATTTTCCTGAGTCATGTAAGGAATGAGTTGATATCAGAAGAAAAATCAGGACTCTGCCATTAAGGCAGAGGGGAGACATGGATGGCATATGTGGGCAATCAATAGGATATGCTAGTCTCCTGATTTTTGCTTAAAAATAAGGAAGCAAATAAAAAAATACAGTTTTAAAGTAATATTCCCTGCAGTGCTTCTCTGATCCAAATAGTGCTAATCTATTATTCTAGACTTTCCATAATCTGGCCTCTAACTGCCCTTCCAGCTTTATCTCCTGCCCTTGCCCTCTTGAGCTTTGCAGTCCAGCATAAATGGCCTGTTCAGCATCCCTGGTTTGGGTCTTAAGTTTGGTATCTTTATGCCTTGTTCCCTGGGATGCCACCTTGTTCCTTTCCACCTCTCTAAGCTTTGCTCTACCTTCCCCATAATAACATTCTCACTATAAATGCCAATCACTTTTAACTGTGCTATTTGTTTACCACTATTTTTTTTCCCTTTTAATTTTATATCTTCTGATGCACATTTAAAACACCAAAAGTCGGAACTAGGTCTTTGTATGTTTTCCCTGCATAAATATGTGAACTCTAAATTTGACATCTTTGACATTTCTACCAGTCATCGTGCCCTACTGGGCATATCTATCATTTTATCAAAAAATCCAGCTCGTCCTGACTCTGCCTGGGAGGGCATTGCCTAGACTGCCCAGGGAGGTAAAGTCTCATGTAGAGAAGGTTCCTAAGCAGGAAGTGACAGGGCTTGTAGTTCACATTTGGACTTAAAACCACAATGCACAGACAATGAATTTGTTTATGCTTATTTTAAAAAAATGTAGAATGCTTTTGCTTTTCTTTTTTCTTAATCTGTATCCGTATCTTTACCCGTCATATATTCCACTTTCCTCACAGTCCTTATTGACTCCATCTACAAAGTCTCCGAGGGCCGGCAGTCTGAGATATTCCACAGACAGGCGGAGGGTAACTTTGACCCCAGCTGCTGCTTCACCATATACCATGGGAACCACATGGAGTCCCTGGACCTCATCACCTCCAACCCCGAGGAGGCCCGCACCTGGATCACGGGCCTCAAGTACCTGATGGCTGGCATCAGTGACGAAGATTCCCTCGCCAAAAGGCAAAGGACTCACGACCAATATCCTTCCTAAAACTCGATTTTCGAGCTCTGTGTGGAATGGGGTGTGTGTGTGTGTGTGTGTGTGTGTGTGTGTGTGTGTGTGTGTGTGTGTGTAGTGTGCTGTGTGAGTGAGGATCAGACTATGCTGTATCCCCCCCCCC